ACTGTGATTCAGATATATGGACGAGTACTGACGCTGAACCTGTACCTACGGCAAGCCTTCAAATGGTCATTCATAATTGCCGATGTAAAGTCAGCCATCATTGGAACAAATTTTCTGGTGCAGCACGCTCTTCTGCTTGATCTCAAGGGAAAATTCCTAATCGACCCAGTAACGTCATTATCATCCAGAAGCCAGGGTCCACAGTGTCTCCACTGTTCAGACTGCAGCACCAGCAGAACTGGCTGAACCCTAAGTCAGTCTCCTCAATCGTTTCATTGGCATCACTCGGCCCAACATCCTGCCGTCAGTGTGACAAGACAGTAAGATACCTCTGTAGCACATCACATTGAAACGACTGGCCCGCCGGTTTTCGAATGGCCCCGCCGGCTCTTAGGAGAGAAACTCAAAGCGGCCAGGGAGGACCTGCAACTGCTGCTGCAGCAAGGCGTCATCCGACCTTCGAGCAGTTCATGAGCAAGGTCGATTCACATGGTGCCCAAGAAAACTGGGGGCTGGCGTACAACAGGTGACTACAGGAAGCTGAACGCACGTACCGTTCCAGATCGCTACCCAATTTCGGTTCCTGAGGACATCTTCCAACGTCTGTACGGCAGCACCATTTTCACAGTCATTGACCTATACAAAGCCTACCACCAGATCGCCATCGCTCCTGAAGACATAGGAAAGACAGCCATAACGATCCCATTTGGTCTATCCGAGTTTAATGGCATTCCTCCAGGACCCAGAGGCGCTACACAGACAGCGACACATGGAAAGCTTGTTCCGTGGGCTAGAGTTTACCCACTATTACATCGACGACATCATTTTTAACTCAAGGTCTCAAGAGGAACATCTCAAGCATCTGGAAATCGCATTCAATATACTACGAGAAGGCGGCCTCACCATCAACCCCAAAAAGTGCCAGTTTGGGAAAGAAGAAGTTACTAACCTGGGCCTGGGCTATACCGTGAATGCTGGATATTTTCGAACAGTCGAACAGCTGCGTCGATTTCTAGGCATGCTTAACTATTACCGCCGATGTATTCCTGCTGCAGTGTAGACTCAGGCCCCACTCACCAGTTTTTTGAAGAATGAAAAGCGAGAGGACAAACGCAAGATACTGTGGACACCAGCTACTAAAAGCCCACTTGCGCCTGCAAACGTAACGTTGCCGAGGCAGCTCGCTCCACCTTTCTTTCACCAAACGCTAGCCTTGCTCTCACGACCGATGCCCCAGATGTAGCAATCGGCGCCAGCCTCGAGCAGCTTCAGGACGAAATGTGAAAACCCATTGGTTTTTTGCCAAGGAAGCTGAGTCCTGCTGAAGCGCGCTACAGTACCTACGACCGAGAGCTGCTTGCCATCTACGCAGCTGCAAGCATATCCTGGAAGGAAGGCAGTTTGTCATCTGAACTGACCACAAGCCGCTAATATACGCGTTTGCGCAACGTGCAGATAAAGCCTTCCCACGACAACTCCGACATCTGGACTTGATCTCCCAGTTTACCACTGAGATCGTGTACACAAAAGGCGAAGACAAGCTAGTGGCTGACGCGGATTAATGTAATTAATATGCCCACATCACTTGGCGCTGAAATCATCCAGAAGGCACAACAGGAAGAGATGGACAATATCAACCAATTATAGCAGAGCACTTCCCTCCAGCTCAACAAGTTGAAAATGGACGGACACAAAGTCTTCTGCGACATCTCCACTGGCTCCATAAAGCCATATATCCCGACCAGTCTGAGACGGCAAGCCTTCAATGTGGTCCACTCGCCGTCACATCTTAGTGGACGCACCACATCGCGCCAGCTTCGTGAGGAGTTTGTTTGGGAAGGCATTAGGCGTGATGCACTGTGGGCTTAACAATGCATGGCTTGTCAGCGCTCAAAAGTGCAGCGGCACAATCAAACGAATCCACACAAGATCGTCGTACCGAATAACCGTTTTTACCACATCCATCTGGACCTGATTGAGTTAGCAACTGTCAACGGTCTACGTTACTGCCTCACCATCATCGACAGGGTCAGCAGATGGCCACAAGCCGTTCCACAACCCGACATATTGGCAGATAATGTCGCCACAGCGTTCTATACTCGGTGAATTTGCCAGTTCGGCACCCCATTCACGATCACCACTGATCAAGGCTCCCAGTTCGAGTCAGCGCTCTTTACCGCTTTGTCAAGGCTGGTTGGAGCACATCGCATTAGCACAACACCATACCACCCTCAGTCTAATGGGCTTGTCGAGCATCAAACCTTAAAAGCAGCGTTGATGTGCAACTTGCAGACACCGTGGCCAGAACTACTATCTACAGTCCTGCTTCGACTAAGGACGCCCTAGAAGGAAGACCTAAAAGCTAGCCTTGCTGGGATGCTCTTCGGTGCACTCTGCGTCGGACCCCCAGAGCTGAGGGGCCCCCACACAACCGAATTATAAAGGCATCGATAAAAATAAAAACAAAAAAAAATAAAAATCGAAAATTAAATTTTGAAGAAGAAGGCAACGTTCTATACCTCTAGGGAATCCGTTGAAAGGAGTCTTCTAGCGAGGATTTGGAGCCCAAGGAGCATCCGCTGTTGCCAAATGTATCGTTATAGGTTAGGTAATATGTACGATTTGCATTGGAGGCAACACATCTTTTTTAAGGTTTTTAATTTTTTCAAAGATTATTTAGAGGGCGGACGGGTTAGTTTGGGTAAGCTTCGATTAGCTCTTTTCGTCTAAAATACCAACATACAAAGACTAGCATTCATTACGAGGACGGGTTAGTTTGGATAAGCTCTTTTTGTTCAAAATACCAACATACAAAGACTACCAGTCATTACGATATATTTTGCAACGGTGTCTCGAGCTCTCTTATAACGTACTTATTTGGCAAGTGCCTAATTATACTGCATACGGCTAGTCAGCATCAGTTCGGAGGCCATGGGTTTATGGGTTCCTTGTATACATCTTATCTCTGGGCGCCACCAAGTTAATTGTGACTTAACTAGAAAGATTCCTTAATGATGTCATAAACAAAACCTGTGCAATTGGAGAGCTTATCAATAAAACAACTAATTAGGTACAATAATGTATCTGGCTTCTTTATTAAACATAATAACAATATATAGGGATAGCCAGGGCGTTGTTAAAAATGTGTATAGGCGGTTACACACGGACGTGGATGTCTTAATACATATACGTGCATACATCAACGTGCAGACAACAACGTGCATGGGGCTTTTGTACAGACGCTCGCACAAAACTGAAGTCTTGCTATTCTTGCTACAGTATTCCGAGTGTGCATACAAAATTGCACATTCAAAAACGCGACGATATTTTGCATACACATTGATGTTTTTGTTTGCGCGTTCATGTATGTGCGTACATGTTTTCAGACATCCACGTCCGTGTGTAACCGCCTTATAGATTAAGGCTTGTACCAATTTATAAATATTTGATTATAAAAAAAAATATGAATGTAAATAATGCATATATAAAAATATGGATTTTAAATAAACAGTTTTAACTGTTCATTTACACTTGCGAAAGATTAAGACTACAATATCAGTTACACTCTACCAAGAGGCAAATTTAACACCAAAAAGGTGGAAATTATTGTTAGGGCAACCTCAGGGTAAAATTCTAGAATTTTATAGTAAAATAGTAAAAAGTGCAACTTACATGTATATGTTACCGGACAAACCCGATTTTAGGATAAACTAGTTTTTCCTAGGCCAAATCAGTTTATCCGAAGAGCGATAGGATGAACTAGTTTATCCTAGTCTAAACTGGTTTTTCCTGAAATAAATTAATTATGATTAGGAAAAACTGATTTGTCCTAGTCTAAACTACTTCGGACCGCGATTTAATTAGTCTGAACTAGTATGAACTCGTTAGATGGTAGCTGCTCGGCTTTGGCTCGCTTAGTTTGCACGCGTACATTGACTGTTATGGAGCCTTCGTCTTATTGCAAAATTTTTAAGTATTGTGCGTGTTGTCCGTAAGCTAGATATTTCGAAACATTTTGTGTTGTTTATGGATTTGAAGTTTGGAGTGTATTCCTCTATCTTGTTATCATGGATGAGTCTTCATCAAGTGGGCACGTAGGTCAAAAAGAGTGGAGACAGAGATTCTTGGTAGAGGTTTTAAGATCTGAGGACGAAAAATCGACTCATTTTAATGTTTTGACAAAGGAAAAGTATTTGGCACTTATGCAACAAGTGGAAGAGGCTAAAAAACGGAAAAGAAATCACCCTTGCAACAAAGAAGACTGAAAAGATTTGATGTGGTGGAAATCGGAGGTGTAAAGAAACTGGCCGCACGAAATGAAGAAAATACAAATAATATAAAGTATTATCTCATCGCTGATGAATTATATGACGTTATTGACGCAGCTCACATAACAGTGGGACATGGTGGTCGTGACAGAATGTTGGCTGAAACTTCTAAAAAGTTTGCGAATATCACAAAAGAAATGATATGTTTTTTTTATCTATGTGCGTGGTGTGTCAACAAAAAAAGACGATAAAAAAGAAAAGATTAGTCTCCAAACCGATTTTGCACTCCGAAATGAATAGCCGATGCCAAGTCGATCTTATTGACTTCCAGACACAACCAGATGGAAAGTTTAAATTTATACTGGTATATCAGGACCACCTAACAAAATTTGTTCTGCTTCGTCCATTGGAAAGTAAGAGAGCCGAAGAGGTAGCCTACCATTTAAATGATATATTTTTAACTTTCGGGGCCCCATGCATTCTACAATCTGACAATGGCCGAGAATTTGTGAATCGTGTAATTTTAGAAATGACAAGCTTATGGCCAGAGCTCAAAATCGTGCATGGAAAACCACCAGGGATCAGTCGAAAGAGCAAACCAAGATATTGAAAACATGCTGAGTGCTTGGATGAATGACAGACAGCCTTCTGACCATTTAAGGCCTAAGGTACATACAGTTTATGAAAAATCGGGCATTTCATTCTGGAATTAAACAATCGCCTTATAAGATAATGTTTGGTGCGGAACCTAGGGTTGGCCTCTCTACTGCTTCATTGCCTTCGGAACTGCTAAAGGAAATTGAAGACGAGGACGACCTTCGAAAACTGTTTGATGGGAAAAACATAGATGGACATGGAAATGAAATCAGTAATAGAGACGAAGATAATATAGACGAAGATAGGAATGGAGACGAAGATACGAGTGGAGACGATGACATGGATGAAACCTCACATAATATTTTAGAAGCACGTTCAAAGGCTGCGCAGAGCCTTGGAAAACAAGCCAAAAAGATGAAAGCAACCTCTCACAAATCGCATCCACCAGCGAAAGTTGGAGATAACATCATCATACCTACTCCTGATGTAGACAGGGCTAAAGGAGATCTTCGGAACGTTATTGGAGTTGTGCTTGAAGTATCTGATGATGGATTTTATAAGATTGTGACCAAGCATGGTATCTTACGAAAATTATATTGCGGGTAATCATTTATTCGGTTGTGGTTTTTATTTGATTTCAATTAAATATTTTCACTTCAGAAATGAATTTGATATCTGCGCACAAAAGTTTTTATTGGAAGAAGAAGTAAACAAAAACATTGAACTTTCATTAAGAACCGCAGCGATCAAACATTCAGTTGGAACAGGCCTAGGTTTCTTTAAGTGTAGTTGCACCAAGAAGTGTACGTCGACTCGATGCCTTTGCAAGAAAAATAACGTTCTCTGCAACTCGAAATGCCATAATAGTTTGACACGTAATAACAAGTAAATAATAAAAATTAGTAAACATGTTTGTAATAAGAGTATTTTCTTTAATTAGTAGTAAAAACGTTACTTTTCACAAATCAGTTTTGCCTAATCACAATTAATTGATTTTAGGACAAATCAGTTTAGACTAGGATAAACTAGTTCATCCTATCGCTCTTCGGATACACTGATTCGGCCTAGGAAAAACTAGTTTATCCTAAAATCGGGTTTGTCCGGTAACATATACAAGTATTAGTTATCTTCAAATGTATGTGTAAATCCAGAAGTTCCTGAAGTGAGGTTATCTACATGTTTGGTCTCACTGTAGATAGACTATGGTACGGTAAGTGAGTCTTATAGAAGTCCTATCCATGTTTTATCTGTCCAATGTAGAACTCAACGTGTTTCAATCAGAGTGGAACCAAGAGGGTTGCTGAAGGAAGGCTACCAAAGCCCCAACTGAGAGCAATCTAGATCCAGCCTAGAATCTCTCTAAATACAGCCTAGGAGCTGTCTAGATATAGCCTAGAATCTTCTAAGTATAGCCTAGCAGTTACAACCTAGGATCCTCTAACTACAGAATAGGATCTTCTAAGTATAGCCTAGCACCCTATAACGATGTTCAAATCGAGCCTCAAACATTAGAAATAATCTTACCTCAAACTGAGGGATGCTCTAGGCCAAAGGTGAAGTTTTAAACTTCCAAAAGCTGCTCGGAACGATCCTATCGAAGAAATGAAACACGTGTTGTAGGTTAATAATCCTGAAGAAAATCTCAAAACTTACCGAAACAAAATCCAAAATGACCAAGGGACAACTCTAGACAATTATCAACAAGAAATTAGTCTAAAACTTGAGTTCCCTGGCACAAAATTCCAAAAAGTCTCGCCCAAAAATAATTAGGGCCGAGACCGGACGACCACATAGCGTGAGGTCGCAAATCAAAAGGGAAGATTCTCCTTTCTTACATTTCGGAAGAAGGCTTCCATTTGTCAAACTTCTAATTTTGACATTGATGAAAATTATAGAAAAGAGCGTGTTCAGTTTAATCCCAAAAATACAAACTGAAAAATGGGTTATGTAAAAGACTCCAAATAACTGGTGAATGTTGAAAATTGCCTATAGAACATATATCAAAAGGTAGAACAGGTCTAAAGAAAACGCCTAGACAAGACAGCTGTTCAATGACATGGTGGAAATGAAAAATCAAAAATGTAAACAACAATTATCATAACCTCAGATTATTTGATTGGATTTGTTACTGGAGATGATGGTACTGTCTCCTTTTTATAAGATTTCAATCAATAACAGCGGGCCTTGCCGTACTGAATCAAACCTTCCTAGATCAATTAACCAATTTTGCAAACCTGAGCTAAAAAACTTTTAGTAGAAGGCAGTACTCAAGGTAATAAAATCTGGGCACAGAAAAGATAGTTGTTTATTCATTTATTTCTTTATAGTTCTATATGGAATCATATCCACTATGGCAAAATAAAGTAGCCAAGAAATTGAAAATGCTACAAGATGTTTCGCTAGGTTGTACGTTGGCGCTCCAAGTGCACTCACTATGGGTCTTAGCGGGACTTTAGGTTTGTGAATTTTAGGTAGGCCGTAGAGTCTTGGTGGAACCGCTTCCGTTTTTATGATATCTTTCCTAACCGTGTCTGTTAGGATATATGACCTACAGTTTGTTGGTGTTCCGGAGTATGGCTTGGGTGGGATCCTCCTTTAGCTTCCGGTAGGTAGATGAATCGAGAAGTTCCTGAATATTCTGGTTGTAGTCTTCAGTTCTTAACAGAGAGTTGCGTTGTCCTTATTCGCAGGTAGGATGATCATTACCAAACATTAGTTCCTTCTTAAAGAGGTTACTGGTTGGTGGTCGAGCCTTTTGCAGAATGTTAGCCGTCTCAATACGGATTTCTTCTGCTTCCACATCAGGTAGTGCTCTGATGGCTGCTTCAGTGCTGGCTATAATCTCCTCCGTTGGCAGTTGTTGTGGAGTGATTGCGAAATTACAGCATTTCGCCAAGACGGCTGTTTCCTCTTCAGTAACGACTTGATTCGTAAGATTGATGTTGATGACCAGTCTGGATCTGTCAGTCGCTGGGGTATTTGGGATTTGATTCTTACAGAACTTCTCGTTTTTTCGAATTTCTGGAGTAGATGCGATGTGCTTGGGGTGTCGTAAAAGAGCGCTTCATCTGCAGGAACGCTGGTACGATGTTAGTGTCTCGGCAGCGATAGAGAAATGTTAGATTGGTCAATTGCAATTGACGTTCGTTTTAGTTGGTAATTTTTTGTTATTCTAAATGGGTATTTAAAATACCATACACTATAAATAGAGAAAATATAGTGGGTGCAATAACACAGCCCTGTTTAACGCCTGTAATTTGAAAAGACTCTCCTTGTCCATTGTTGCTTAGGACGGTTGCATTCATATTATCATGCATCAGGCGGAGTATCTAGATATATTTTTGCGGAAACCCAACCTATGTCACAGATTACTTACATACAGATGCGAAAGAGCTGCGAATTCGTGGTTCAAGATTAATTTGATAGACATAGGCTGGCCGCACCAATGCCACATCAATGTATTTTGAACATATTTATTATATAAATGCGGAAGCTCAAAAATAGTATATTATATACCTAGGTAGAGAAGTTGGTCATTATATACCGAAAGCTTTTATATATATATAATGCTTGAGGCATATTTTGAGGCATTATTTTCATTATTAACCTAGGGAGAGAAATTCAATTTTTTCTTAGAAAAATAGATTGAATAATGTCTATTTCTCCGGTTAGTAGTAAAAAAAATAATATTATTTCTTTAATTGGTTCACAAACAGCAAAAAAATATTTTTTTCTACCCGCAAAAATATGTAAACACACAAGCTGGAACATGCTCACGCACTTGGCCACGTTAATTGTACTGACGCGGGCGATCTTTATCTATGCGTCGGAGCGCTGGCGGCCCGACTTCGTCACAGAATATCGTCGACGACAAGTATACGTACTTTCGCATCTGTATTAGGTAATCTGTGCCTATGTACTATCTTCCGAAGAGCTTCTCTGTTGACCGAATCAAATGCTTTCACTAAATTTATAAAAACGATGTATAGAGGGCGACTTTGTTCTCTGGATTTCTCTTGAATTTCTCTTGCCAAGGAAGTGATGAGAAAGTGAGACAGGTTTATAGAATTCCGGGAAAGTATGAAAAAGGCAAGTCTGATGCGGAAATCCGCCGATGAAGTTCGCAGAATTCGTAAAAAGTATGAAACAATATTGGGAAAAGTTTTTTACATAATATAGGAAGTTTCTATGAGAAATTTGGGATGTGCGGTTACCTCCTAGAACCCATATTACCAAGATATGTAAGCTTCCCAAATTATTATAAAATCCGTCTAATTTCTCAGTCATATTTTCCGAAATTAATTACATATACCTATATCAAATTAACCTATTACATTATGAATCATCAGAATCTGGCAATTCGAAAAATATCCAAGATTTATTTCAATATTAGGTAAATCAACAGGCAATATTTCTATAATTTTTTCGAAACCAATCAAAATTCAAAAGTAGATAAATTATTCCTTCAAATTTCACTTCGTTTTTTCTTTGGTACCTATATAAATATGTCTGAGTTATGAGTAACGTACATTTTCACAATATCCTGATGTTTTGCCATCAAGAATAAATTTATTGGTTAATAATTAACACCTTCTTAGCCAAATGATATTTTATTACTTCTGGGTATCAATATTTGCATTAGTAATAGATATTATTAAACACGTTACGCATTATATCATAATTATTGGAACACACACTCTGAAACAATGTTATAAATTATGCAAGCTTTTACGCTCGTACCCTTAGGAGCATACAATGCTATTCCCAGCTCAAGTCGCACTTTTTTACTGGTTTATTGTTTGTGAGGGCGTGATGGATAATTAAAAATTTAAAAAAATTATAATTGATTGGTAGGTATTATGGTAGAGTACATGGGCGTAGTGTTATTATGTGTAATTAAATACTACGACAGTAATATAATGTTTTATGGCTTGGCGAACACACACAACTAATTGATTTTCTATAATAATTCGAATAAAGCCAATTACTTTTTTTTTGGTTTAATCCTCCATCTTCAACACTCATTGGAGAAGTGTCGTTTTTTAAATTAAACCTTGTAAAATCTGTTTTTTTTTTTAAAGATAATTCCCCAAGTCAAAAATTTAGTAACTATGTTGGCAACACAAGCCTTTTCTACATGAAAAATTTGAAAGCATTGACAATTTTACATTGTATTGCCAACCTAATGTCAGTTTGACTTTTATCTTTAAAAAAAAAACGCACTTTATCTTAATTTTTTTTCTGATTGCGATTGCGACTTTCATCGTACCGTAAAAATTAAAATTAAAGATTAGATAAGTCATGTGTCAATTAGTGCGCACTGAGTGTTTCCATATCTTTTTCTAAAAGCATGTAACATGTAAGGATAAGGATACATTTTTTTTTTTTGCACTGGTTTGACAAATGGAAACCGCTATAATAAACAGACCCAAGATTTCTGTCACGCATTCTTGGTCACGCACCCAAGAGCAGTGAGTGACATTGGGACAGTTAGTCAGCGCAAGCAGTGACAATCACAAAAAGAGACTTAACCGATTGTGTAAATTACCCCGGAAGTGACTGTATACCCGATTTTGAGAGTGATAGTGAATTTTCAAGTAAGTTCTAGAAAATTCTTTTTGGAAACCAAGCAGTTTATCCAATTTGTGACTTCACTGACGTGTTTGGAACTTCAATCAAAGACCAGGAAAGATATTTGAAGAGAGTTCGAGGGAAATTCCAGAACATTCTGTACATGCCTATTAAAGAGACAATAAGCAAAAATGGAAGAACAAAAATTGAAGAACTTCTGCGCAAAATGTTAGAACTTCAAGAGACCAAAGGACAACAAGAAAAACAAGACGAAGAGGTCAGGCGACAAAAATAAAAACAAGAAGAAGCTAAACGACAACAAGAAAAACAACACCAAGAGACTAGGCGACAAAAAAAACAAGAAGAAGAAGCTAAACGACAACAAGAATAACAAGACGGAGAGGTCAGGCGATAGAAAGAAAAACAAGAAGAAGAAGCTAAACGACAAAAAGAAAAACAAGAAGAAGAGGCTAGGCGACAACAAGAACAACAAGAAGCCCTTGGAAAACTGTAGTGTAGTAATTGTGCGCTACGGCTTTAAGATATTGGAGATTATGCCGAGGAAGTAAACGCATGACTTTTGGGAATATATGATTTAACTCGGGAGCATATTCAGCTGGCCAGTGACCGAATGAAGATCAGATACGACTTGAAAGCCAATTCAGCCGAATTTCAAGAAGATGATTTGGTGTGTCTGTATAATCCAGCAAGAAAGAAAGGAGTATCACCAAAATTGTCTTCAGCATGGGAAGGACCCTAAAGAATAATCAAGAGGATGAATGATTTGGTTTATCGAGTTCAACGCAACACCAGGAGTGAGATGAAAGTTGTACATCTAGACAGACTGACGAAATATCATGGTCGTGAAGTTGAGGAACGATCAACCTTAAGAGAAGGACAGTGTTACGGCATCCGCCGCCAATGTGTCGAGAATTCAAGATGTTCCAGATTTTTGTGGTGTAGTCGGGAAGCATCTAAACATTCCGGTATAGGATTCGGCACCTAAGCATATTTCATTGGACCGTTTGAATTCGGACCGCCAATTGATGCGGAGTGCCGAAATCGGTACTTGAATGTTGAACGGTGCTGAGCCTCAGGTCAGAATGGTCCATTAGCAACAGCCATGTGGAGTGCCGAATCTAAGGTCAAAATGTTAAACAGTGCTGAGCATCAGGTCCGAATGTTGCCATGCGTTTGGC